TCCTTTTCATGTATGGTGCAGTGTCTATATCTGTCTTTCAAACAAGGATGTAAGGTTGTCAAGACAACATTTATACATTCTTATGACTTTACCTAGCAAAACTGTTATCACGTCTACACAGTTTATGTGACAGATTCATCACTATGACAGGTGCTTGTGGAAATCAATACCGCAGAGATTTCCTCTTTAAGACTTTTTTATTGTCAATTTTTTGGGCTCTGGGTGCCGCTACAGCCTATGGGCCACCTAATTATTTATGATGCTGTAAACTATTTGTGGCAGAGAGAGTGCCTTCTTATGCATTTATGCAGCACCTGGCACTACAGGGACCTGATCCTTATTAGGACCTGCAGAAACTCATACTATAAATATAAATAAAGCAAACAAAAAAATCCCACTCAAATACCTTTGATCCAGTTCTGCCTCCAAGTCACTTAAGGAGGAGTGCATGGGTGCAACTCGAGTAAGAAATGTGTCCATTTTATGGTTTCTTAAAGATTCTGTTGATACCATTTAAAGCATGACAAAAATGGGGCACTATAAAACTGCATAACCAGAAAGTAATGGCAATATAAAACAGACTGTCCTGTCACTTAGGATGTGTAAAGAGAGCATTTTCAAAAGTGGATTCCTAAAGGCTCGTAAGTTTTAATTTGGAAATGTAATCATGTTCCTATTTTCAAAAATGCTATGCAACCAGCAGCTCCCACTAGTGTAAAATCTTGCGTGTGTGTACAAATGGAAACAAATATGCAACAATTAAGTAAAAAAAAAATGTCCTGAGTCTCTTCAGCTAACACCATGATAATATATGACTAAATCATTCACACCTGTTAGTTATGAATATTAAGAGTTTCAAATGTCTTGTGTTGAAAGGGCACTCCATTAATATCTTTTCAAAATAGCTATAATTTCAAACCTACATTTTTATATTAACAACTTCTTTCAAAGATTTTAAAATGATGATCAAGTTATTTCCCTATATTAAGTGGGAAACCAGGGATTAATTTAATTACTTGTACAGGAATCTAACAGCATAATGCATTTCTTAGTCTCTGTAGATTGTTACTTAAGAGTCACTATTGGTACACCATTATGTTGGGAATTAAATTGGAGAGTGAGCAACATTTGTCTGACTAAGACATTCTTAACAGTTTATCTTGAATCCATGTGAAAAAGCACTGTTGCTACATGTGATAATTATTAATGCTTATAAATCAGATGACTGACGTCTGAACTATGAATTTATTGGAAGGACAGGGTGTTAATGCAATATTTACATATTACATGGGGGGGGCTGCAGGGACTGAGAGAGGCAGAGGCTATGGGTAGCAGGCTGTTGAGGGCAGAGCCTGCAAGAAACAGAGACTGCAGAGGGCAGGGGATGGGAATGAAAGGTACTGCGGGGAGGGGGGCAGGCTGCAAGGGTGGCAAGTAGTGGGGGGTAGGGGGAAAGGGGGCCAGCTGCACCCACTGCTACCAGCTCTCTGCAGTTGCTTTCCCCACTGTATCAGTGCAGGGGACAAAATTAAGATGACCCTCCGCTAATCAGATTCTAAACAAGGAAAATTATAACAAATTTATATATTTTCCATGTCTAGAATCTAATTATTAGGGGATTGTCTTAAATTCAAGGTAGTTTTGGATTCAGCTAAATATAGTATATCAATACTTTATACATTCTTCTTCTAATTGTCCTTGGAATCTTGATTGTTTTAAGATGATAAACATCCATTAAGACGCTCATGCAGTTTAACTTTTGTGTAGCTTATCAATGGATAACTTTGGACAGAGCTTTTCTACTATTGCTCTTAATTGTCAGAAGTGAACACAAAAACATTCCAAGTGGACAATGGGGAAGAAACTCATACACATTTAACTTACTCAGTTCTAGCCCCCTATAGTTTACAAAACTAATTGCTTAATGGTACATTAAAGTGCAATACATGTTATACTACTTCTGAGACGATACCATCTTATAAAAGGAACACTTCACAGATTGGAAATGGGGAAAGACTGCTTATTTTCAGGAGTAATCTTACCTTTGCTGTGGGAAGCATGTCAAGAGAGTCCAATATAAATAATACTAATGCTTGTATCAACATCATAAACTGATTAAATTGCCAAGTCAGGCTAAAGAGGAATGTTGATAAAAACACCACCAGAAGTGTCAGCCTCTGGAAAAAAGAAAACTTTTATTCGAATGATGTTACTTCCGATTTAAAGCTATAAAAAAAAAGTTTAGATTAAAAAAAAATGTATCTTTAAAGCATTCCATTGAAAAGTGTTAACAGAGGTCACTCTTACTACAATAGTTGATTGCTGGATGATACCCAGATTGACATAGAACATTTGTGACTATTCAAAATTAGACACTGCAGTTTTGCACTTGGAGGAAAAAAAAGTGTCATGGACATATTTTAATCCAAAAGCTCAGATATACCTTTTTAATTAGTAAAGTAAAATATAATCAGTGGGGAAGGCATTCTTTAATGCTTAAGTCTCCAAAAGGCTTTTTCTTAAATGATTCTGACAGCCACTAACATTACCTCAAAGACTTAAAACTATTTCCACTTCCTTTGTAACACTGTTTCTAACTATAAAATCTCCTGTTAGAACAATTTCATTTGTAACTCTTTTCAACACTACTATTATTAGTGAAGTCTTATTTCAGCTATTTCCAAATTAAGTCTAGGTTTTTCTAGGCAACAATTTCTTCTTCTATCTATATAGTTCCTTGTACATTTCTATTATTATAATGGTTTAATAAAAGTAGGTGCTTTTGTTCTGATTTATAGTTGGTTATCTGCATATGTTCTTTTCAACAACCTGCCTGTTATTTCTCATATTAGTGTTGCTATGTCAAAATGTTAGAAATACTTACTTCATGAAGAGGTTGTAAATGAGGTCTGAGGAGGTGTGTGATTGCTGCTATTTGAACTGCAAAGAATGGCAGTGCCCAATTCTCTCTTAACGGAATGGTGAATTCTACTCTTGTAGTATCTATTCTATACAAAACAAATGAAGAGCCACAAATACACAACCAAAACTATATCTCCTGCAAATAATGTTACAATTAAAATGGACAACTTTCAGGATATTGAGAAACATTATTTTCCATTACGTAGCTGACTAGCAAGTCCCTTAAAAGCTGTCAAAATAATGTTCCAGAATTCATTTCTTGGTTTTTTGTGACATCATTTCTCTCTTGTAACTAACTTTCTTTGTTGTCAGAGTGCTGCTACCATGGAGCCCAGTGTTCCCTTAGGCAACAGAGCAAGCAGGAGAAGGTTGGCAATTTTCAGATCAATGGCAAATGTTCTTCTGCAGTTTGGTTTGCATCAGGCACTTGTGGGAATAGGTAGCTGTCATTTCCTTTTCTATAATCTAACTGTAATTCAGTTGGTTTGTATTAATGGTGTAACTGAATGACACTGATCTGGACAGACTTCCGGCCATTCTTATAACATTTCAACATTTTAGGAACTACTAACGAAAGTCAGGAGTCCTCACTCAGCAGTTATTTCTGGATCTCTAAGCAAATGTAAAAAAATACATCCAACGTCCATTTTTCCTTATGTAGCCAAAATGTTTGCTTAAAATTATTTAATCTGCAAAGCACTAAGAAAACTAATCACACTACTACATACATATAAAGTATCATTCTGTAACTGGCATGCTTATTGCTAATTAATATATTAAACAATTGTGATAGGACTGACATTGTACTTAAGTTACAGAAAACAACCACAAGCTCTGGACACAGCCGCATTCACAATCTTAAAGTAGTACAGCAGCACATCAGATCCAAGGCCACATTTTTCCTGTCTCACACAACCCGTGGCATATCTGTGTTAAGGAAGTGGGTAGACTTAAGTGCTAGCAACCCCCATGTGCTACCACTTAAGTGTTTGTTAGGGGCCTGCAGGCAAAGCCCTACAAGGAGAGATTGAGGGCCCTGGATCTCTGCAGCCACCACAAGCGAAGGCTGAGAGGTAATTTTGTGGCTGCCTACAAATTCATCGGGGGTGGGGGGGTGGCAGCAAGGAATAGGAGATGCTCTGTTTACCAGGGCACCCCTTGTAGTAAGTAGGAACAACGGGCACAAATTGATGGAGAGCAGATTTAAGTTAGACATCAGGAAGAACTTCTTTATGGTAAGGGTTGCCAGAATCTGGAATGGGCTTTCAAGGGAGGTGGTGCTCTCCACTACCTTGGGGGTCTTTCAAAGGAGGCTAGACATGCACCTGGCTGGGGTCATCTAATCCCAGCGCTCTTTCCTGCCGAGGGTAGGGGGTCAGATTTGATGATCTACTGAGGTCCCTTCCAACCCAAACATCTATGAATCTGTGAAAACCATGGGCAGCTGAAACAGCCAACCCTGGGGCATCTATGTTAGAGCAGCCCTTAGATACTTTAACTTCATCCTGGCGGTTCTAGGCTGGTAAAGCTGACCAGCATTTCTTACTATCTAAATGGCTACCAGATACAGCCCAGGGAAACTAGATATGGCTGTATTTTTCAAGCCTGATCTCAACCAGGACACTGGATTCAACCCTCCTAAAATGTTTTACTCTAACTTTGCAGCTTCAGCCCATTCTAATTATATTTAACTATTTTAAAATGTTTTTTGGCTCATCTAAAGAAAATGCTCACTGCTATATGTTATCTCTTGCTTCAATTAGTCTAGAGAATGGTTTGATACATACTTTACTGTGACAATTAAACTTTAGGAAGAATAGATGTTAGTTATACTAACCTGTTGATAATATACCAGAAAGCTGCTAATAAGCCTGAAAGCCATGTTCCGCTGAGAAGCCAGCTGGTTATGTACAAAGCAATGACATAAAGAGCCTGAAGTCCAAACAAAGTATAGATATAAAAATAAACAGGCTCTAAGTATCGCTGTAAAACAGAGGAATATTGAAGTTGGTATAAAATAGTGAAAAATACTTTAAACTGACTTGAATTTAAAGAAATAGTCCTACACAAATTCAAACCATTAAAAGGCCAAAAAAACCCAACCCACCAAAAACATGATTTCCTTAAAATAAAATCTTTACAATTATTTTAATTGATAATTCATTAAAAATAGATTAAGTCCATAATAAAGCTGAACTGAAACACGAAGTTATCTAGTTAAAATCCCAATTTATACCCTCAGTCCCACTTCAGTATCTTGTCCATTCACAGGGTGCATCTACATGTGCAATTAATGCAAAGCAATAAACTCTGGAGCAATTTGAGCTGGAGTAAACTGTTCCCAGGCACAGCATCTACATGTGCTCCCAAGAGAGCAGTGTCTGAGAGAAGGTGGAACAGGCCTGGGCTGACAGGAGGCATGGGGAGGTCAGCTATGGACTCTGGGTGGCAGCATCAGATGGCAGAGGGGCTGGTTGGGGCACAAGGGTGAAAGTGTGGAGCTGTGTGGCTAGGTGGCAGGCAGGAGTCTGGACCCTGGCTGACTGGGATGACCAGGTGCAATTTATGTCTGTGGTCATCATCCACATATGTAATTAATCACAGTTATTTACTACTCTGTAAGACTGTACCATCCTCAACGGTACTGTCTTATGGCAGCGCTAATCCGTTTTATTGCAGCCTAAAGCTGCCACACGTGTAGATGGTGATGCTTTACTATGCAGCAAATCAGTCTACTCTGCAGTAAAGTGAACACGTAGATGCACCCACTGGGAGGGAATTCAACAGCAACAGGATGTCCACAAGGATTTTAGCAAGGGGACAGGAACCAGGAAGGTTATATTTGCTCATCTAGTGAACAGAGGCAGAGTGATAGAAGTTCCTCCTACAGTCCTGACATACTGGGAGAACTGGCAGCTCTAAGCCTTGTTACATTCCATTACACTGTTCTAATGCTGTATTTGACCAAGATGAACACAAAAGTGGAATTTTGCAGGACTATTTCTAAGGAGGATGGAGATAAACTATTCTCTGTGGCCACCTGGGACAGGGAAAAGAGCATTGGTCTTAAATTGCAGCAAGGGAAATTTAGGTTGGATATTAGGAAGAACTTTCTCACTACCAGAGTGGTTAAGTATTGGATGAGGCTTTCCAAAGTGGTTGTAGAATAACCATTCCTGGACATTTTTAAGAGCAGATTAGACAAAAACATGATTGAGATGGTTTAGTCAGGGATAATCCTGCCTTGGGTAGGGGAAAGGACCAGATGACCTCCTTCCAGGCCTACTTTTCTATGACTCCATAAAATCTTTTTATCAACCTGGCCAAACCAGTACTCATTCTTGAAACCCTGCACAAGCATACACAAAAAGAGTAAGAGTTCAAAGACTAAAAATGACCATAAAGATACTTGCTCCTCTTTCAGGAGCAAATCTAACATGGAATGAACAAGTAATTTAAGCCACATTTGTGCATATAAAATTTGATTTTTCAATAGGTTTTCATGTGTGTTTGCATCTGAAAACAAAATGTAGTTTTTAAATTTGTAAAAATATATTTGAGATGTATATTCCTTCTGAGAAATGAAGGCTGTAATTCACTAGGGAGCTTTTTCTGATGCCCCTAGGAATTTAAAGCCATAATTAAATGCTTACCTGAATAGGAAGAATCTTATAAAGAATGCTGAGAAACACCTCCTGGTAAACATTCATTCGTTCAAGTATGTTGATTGTCCTCAGAGATTCTGTTTTATTGTCATGTACTAGGTCATGTAATCCTAAACATTAAAAATAAATAAAAGTAAAGGAATGTTGTTTTTATTTATTCCACATCCATGGTATAGTGTGAACTTTTCAAGTGTATTTTAAGGTCTTCTTTGAAAGATTTATGAAGTTTTTTTTGTCAAAGATTTGAAACACACTATTTTATCTGGCTGAGTTACAAAGACCTAAAAAACTTCTTCGATTTTCCCAGTTGAAATGATTCTTGGATGACTGCTAATGCAAGTAAATACGAAACATTCAGTGCTATACTTACATTCCCAAAGTGTTAGAAATTGCAATGATAAATTATGTTTGCAGCAACAGACTTGGGGTATTAAATATGATGTGAGAAGCTGTGCACTTCTAAATCACTACTACAAAGTTTGATATCGATAGAGCCACTACCAACTATAACAGATACAAGGTTAACATAAGCATAATTACTTAGAGATCTCACCCCAAATTCTAGAAGATAATATATTACCACAAATAACCCAACTTGCACCATACTAGGTTATTATGTATTTTGTAACAATGCCTAGAACATTCAACCAGTCATGAGAGCCCCTGCTCTGCTAGGAGCTTTATGTGTACACAATATGTATAACAATGCTTCTGTACCTGTGAAGGTACTTCACAGGAGGCACTACACCCTTCTTCTGGCTAATCTATTCCTATACATTGTGTAAATGCATCAAATAGCCTCCAGCACTTTCTTAAGCACAAAATTAATTTTTCTTTAAGTTAATTTGAACACCTTAAAATACCTTGTCGGATGGATGGAGCCTGCAGCATCTGTTTATAGTAGGAGTAATACAGTCCACATTCTGTCCTGAATGAAATTTCTCGTTCTACTTCCTGCAAATAAAATTTAAAAACCAAGCTACTTAAAGTACAACAATAAACCATTGCTTCTACTTGCATCCTGGTATGGTGTAAAGTTGAGTAATTTCACTAAATCAGTTTGTTAAATATTTAGACCTGCAAACTTTGGACCTGATTCTGTAAATTTTCTCGTGTGGGTAGTCATTTCTCATATTTTTATTCTCCACCAAAGTCAGTAGGATTCTAGTGTGAAAAACAATTACTCAGATGAGAAAGACTTGTAAGAGGGACCCTGTAACGAGAAAATCAAATTAGAATACGAATGTTTGTATTACTTTCTTCAAACTTCAATTAAGCTTTTCTTTTGTCTCAACATTCCCTTTCATGTCAGGCGCTCAGAATTTCTGGCTAAACTGATATAATTCATCTGCACAGTGACTGTACATTGTCTAAGACTAAATGACTGGAGTTTACGGTGTCTGTGATTTAATCTGGATAAAGCCGAAGCTAAAATGACAAATTAAGTCAGGGGAACAAAAAAGGTGGCAGAGGTGATACTACCTCTACCAGAGGGAAGCAGCTTGCCTACCTTTGCAATTCCGACTGAAAACTTGGGATACTACTGGTTCTTCATTTATTATTGTTATAGTTCTGGGCAGTCAGGTAGCTGCAGTACTTAAAAGCTGGATTTTTTCAAAGTGCAAATGCTGGTTAGCAGGCTGCAACCTTTTCTTTTCCAGATGCAGGTGTCTCTGTAGTGATCCAAGTCTTTGCCACTTTGAGACTTGGTTAATCCAATATGCTCTACCTGAGGCTACATCTTAATACTGTTTAGAGACGTCAACTTGTGCAGAATGCATCTGCCCACTTGTTAAATGCTGTTTCTTACATGGAGCCAGCTGTTCAACACTTTACACTTCAGTTATAGGTTAAAACAACACTGGTTTCCTGTTTGTTTTCAGGTGTAAATGAAGACAATGATTTTAATCTATAAATCCTTAAATGGTGTTCTGAGTATATCAAGACTTGACTGTATTCTTACATGATGCTGCATTAGCTGAGATCTAGTGAGACATACATGCTTAAATATCTTACTCTGTGTAGAAAGATGCTTTTGGTAGGAGACTCCTATATTTCAGTTAATTTCCCCCACTTAGTTCATGAGTCTTGCAGGCTTATAGAGGCTTAACACTTGTTCAAAGCCTTGCATGACTATATTTTCACAAAATAAATTACTTAAAACAATACAGCATGAGGTGAAAACATTTAGCTTTTTATCTTAATTTATTTTACCAATAATGATGAATTTTAGTAAATTATACATATTTTTTTTAAAGTAGCACAGCAAAAGCCCTCATTTAAACACTAAATTAGAAGGCATTTATCTCTAGCTTTGAGAATCCAATAAGACTGCCGTATGTGAAGCAAGCAATTAAAACATGAAAAAACCCCAACTAGATTTCTAAAGATAATCCTATTAATTCACCTTTCTTTACAAAAGAGCATAGCTGAATAATGGAATGGCATTGTTTCCCCATCTTTTATGGCTGCCATTCTGGTTAGTACAATATTGCATACAATTTCAAGGCTTGCAACTCTTTTATATAGCAAAGCTGATTGTTTCACCTCTTTTCTTGGAATAGAATCAATGTTATTTCAGTGCCAATATAAAATAAAACAGAAAAAAGGCTTCCAACTTCAGTGTTGTGCTGCTTGTCAAAAGCACACATTTTACTGAAGTCAACTGAAGTTAACTAATCCAATACTAGGTCTGGTCTGAGATGAAGCAACAAATAAAAAGGCATCTAAAATCACCAGTCAGCCCACACTTAACTTCTCCAGCTGCTTTGCAGCTTACTTGAATATTACAACACCAGTAGAATTCACTGACATTAGTACTAATGCTAAAAGCCACAAACTAAGCAAAATTAAAATGAGTAGGCTTGAACTAGGTCATTGGATGGTACAGCTGTGATTTCTGGTTTCTATTCATCATTACTGAAAAGTTTTCTAAGAGCAAAAAAAGGCTGTTGCTTGTAAGTGCTAAAGAGAAGAAATCTTTAACATTTGGAATTTATTAAGGCGGGGGAGGGTAATCACAGAGGGGGATCTAATTAGCAAAAATGCATTCAAACATGATTAATTTGTAATCCTGGCACCAGCTGTATTCAACCAAATGCTATACTTTGAGACAAACACTAGTGAGTTTTACATCTGTTTCATGCTAAGATAACATCTGCTTTATTCATTCACAATACTTTTCCAGTTCTCCAGCAATCTATATTTTTCCTAGTGTGCCATGTAAATAAGAACATATAGAGTTACGGGTAAATATTTGAACGCATGCTTAACTATTACTGTATGTTCGATTTGCTGAAAGGCTTATCATAGAACCCAGCATGTCTCCTAGGAAAAAATGTGCGAGTAGCCTAAGACCTGTTGTCACAGAAATGTATGAAAGCAGAGTAAAGTGTAAAAGGACATTTTGGAGGATCTGCATGACAGTTTATGCAGTAATCTATCAAACACACTCCAACAATTGTAGTAAGCAGTGAAAACAACATACAAAGGACACAACATACTATGTCTACTCATAGTCAATATCCTGCTTTCCATACAAAATTTTAGAACCAATGGGCACATCCCCACAAGTGGGAATGTGTATTTCCCTGCGGACAAACAGCCCCAGTACAATACAGAATCATTAAAAATTAGGGTTGGAAAGGGACCTCCAGAGGTCACCTAGTCCAACCCCCTGCTCAAAGCATTAATTATATTATTCCAGCCAGGGTTTTGTTAAGCCAGACCTTAAAAACCTCCTAGGATGGAGAGTCCACCACCTCTCTCAGTAACCTGTTCCAGTGCTTCACCACCCTTCTAGTGAGAGAGTTTTTCCTAATATCCAACCTAAACTTCCCTTGCTGCAATGTGAGACCATTGATCCTTGTTTTGTTATGTCCCATCACTGAGAACAGTTTAGCTCCATCCTCTTTGGTATCACCCATTAGGTACTCAAAGGCTGCTATCAAATCCACCCTCAGTCTTCTCTTTTGCAGACTAAGCCCAGTTCCCTCAGCCTCTCTTCATAAGTCATATGCCCCAGGCCCCTAGTCATTTTCGTTTGCTCTCCGTTAGACTCTTTCCAACTTGTCCACACCTTTTCTATAGTGCAGGGTCGAAAACTGGACACAGTACTCCAGGTGTGGCCTCACCAGTGCAGAATAAAGGGGAAAAATTACTTCCCTCGATCTGCTGGCAACACTCCTACTAATGCAGCACAGTATGCCATTAGCCTTCTTGGCAACAAGGGCACACTGCTGACTCATATCCATCTTACTGTCCACTGTAACCTCCAGGTCCTTTTCTGCAGAGCTGCTGCTTAGCCAGTTGGTCCCAAGCCTGCAGTAGGGCATAGGATTTGTTCCATCCTAAGTGCAGAACTTTGCACTTCTCCTTGTTGAAGCTCATGAGAGTTCTTTTGGCCCAATCCTCTAATTTTGTCTGAATCCTAGCCCTAACCTCCAGAGCATCTACTACACCCCCCAGCTTGGTGCCATCTGCGAGCTTGCTGAGGGTGCAATCCATCCCATCTTCCAGATAGTAATGAAGATACTGAACAAAAACAGCCCTAGGACCAACCCTGGGGCACTGCACTTGATTTTGGCTGCCAGCCAAAATTTGTTACTACCCATTGAGCCCAACAATCCAGCCATCTTTCTATCTACCTTACAGTCCATTCATCTAACCCATGCTACCTCAGCTTGCTTGCAAGAATGCTATGGGAGATGGTATCAAAAGCCTTGCTAAAGTCAAGGTATATTACATCCACTGCTTTCCCTGAATACACAGAGCCAGTCATCTTATACGAAGCAATCAGATTGGTCAGGCATGCCTTCCCTTGGTGAATCCATGCTGACTGTTTCTGATCACCTTCTTCTTCTCCAAGTGCTTAGAAATGGATACTTTGAGGACCTGCTCCATGATTTTTCTGGGGACTAAGGTGAGGCTGACTGGTCTATAGTTCCCTGGATCTTCCTTTTTCCTTTTCTTAATTATGGGCACTATGTTTGCCCTTTCCCATCACCTAGGACCTCTCCTGGTTGCCATGAATTTTCAAAGATGATGGCCAGTGGCTCTGCAATCATATCAGCCAACTCCCTCAGAACCCTTGGATGTACTGCATCCAGCCCCATGGATTTGTACACGTCCATCCTTTCTAAACAGTTCCTAACCTGTTCTTTCACCACTGAAGGCTGCTCACCTTCTCTCCAAACTGTGCTGCCTGATGCAGTAGTCTGGGAGTTGACCTTGCCTGTGAAGACCAAGGTAAAAAAAAGGCATTGAGTACTTCAGACTTTTCCTCATCATGTCACTAGGTTGCCTCCCCCATTCAGTAAAGGACTCACACTTTCCCTGAACTTCCTCTTGGTGCTGACATACTTGGAGAAACCCTTCTTTGTTACCCTTCACATCCCTTGCTAGCTGCAACTCCAATTGTGCTTTGGCCTTCCTGATTTCATCCCTGCATGCCCAAGCAATACTATACTCCTCCCTAGTCATCTGTCCAAGCAATATGTGCCACTGCTACCTGTCCTCAGAGAATGCCTGTACACGGGCACTCTAGCATATGGTTTCCCCAGGTAGGGTAAGGGTGGCTATGGCCAGTACCTGGGCTGGCCCAGGCAGCCTCACCTGGAGTCCTGGGGGTCTCCATGGGCTGCGACTGGAGTGACTTGGTAGCAGGGAGCTTGGCTGGCAGCCAATGTGGCTCTGGCCGGCTAGGCTCTGGTTTTGGGTGGCACATGCTGCCACCCTGTGCACCACCCCACTTATAGGCGTGGGTTTTTTTGCACTGAGATTTCCCGTTGTCAACACCCCCCCCCCCGACTGCAAATTGGCAGCACAAAGAATGCCTACATGTGCAGTGCATGTGGTGCCACAGACACGTCTGCGGCATCGCATACTGCATGTGTGCACTCATCTGGATGCCCAATGACTCCAACTCCCTTAACCAAATCATCCAAAATATAGGA